GCTAAACCCCTCAGAGGGCCCCCAGCAGCTGCCTACAGCCCAGGCTCCTTGGCTGGGCATTCAGGTCCTAAGTGATCTGAACCAGCCTGCTCCTCCACCATTCTGACGGGCATTATGAGCTAACAATTCCTGGTTACCATGAGTTGTCTTCGCTTGGAATAGTCTTCTTAGCTCTGACTGGCTGGAAAACCCTATCAGTAAAACTTTATGAAAAACAATTAGGTTATTTGAATACCTAACCTAAAAAAAAAAAAAAAAAAAAGAAAGAAATATGCCAACATGTGAGCTAAGGTCTACACACATAGCTATTTATGATAGCCTATTTTTAACAGCAAAAAAGTGTGTATGTGTGGTGAGGGATGAAGGGGGGGCAAATGAAATGTTCAAAAATAATCAAATAGATTATGCTAAATGGGATGTTATAAAACAACTAGAGGCCTGATGCACGAAATTCGTGCAAGGGTAGCCCCTGGTAGCCCTGGCTGCCTCGACCCTTGCAGCCACTCTGGCTTCCTTTGGAAGGTCATTCTGCTATTTGGCCTAATTAGCATATTAGCTCTTTATTATACAGGATTAAAAACTATGTTGACAAAGTTGTAAAGACATGGAAAATGTTTATTCTAGAAAAGACTGAAGAAGACTTAGGAGATACAGATATCCCAGAAGATGTCATAAAAGTAAAAGAAGAAAGAAAACCAAGAATGCAGGCATAAAGCAGAGTCAGGGATGAGGCTGCAAAGATAGCTTTTGACTATGTGTGTGGGCCACAAACCGGGCTTTTAGTTTCCCATCAGCAAGCACAGAGAGAAATCTGGGTAGTATCACCATCCAGTATCCACAATATAAAAACATTCCCTTGCTTGGGAGAAATGTAGTTACCCCATACATGAACTGCTGTGGCGAGTCCCCATGGAGAAGAGTATAAAATACTAAGGCACACTTGGCAGGATTCCCAAGGGTGATTCATACAGAGATCCAGGATGAAGGCAATGGCCATTGCACTAGCCAACTCAATCCCCCTTGTAAGGAGCCAATAGTTAATAATGCACATCTTTAGTTTTCTATGAATATCCCTTGTTGCAGAAGTAGAATTTAAAGAAATGGAAGGACTGAAGTAAATTTCATTTAATCTCCTTTCAACTAATTTTTTGGTCCTAATACTGATACATTTGATGAATTTAAAATTGTATTTGCTGAAGAGTAATTGGAGTCAATCTAGTCTATAGCCAGATAATTAAAAATAGACTTATCAGAATGAATAATTAAGGAGCAGGAGTAGGAGCAGAAAGCTTAGTAAGAAGACTACTGTAGAAAGACAGGAAACAATCGAAGGTCATAATGATGTAACCATTGTACTAGGAATAGTAATAGTAATAGTTCCAATAATGATGATAAGAGTAACGTCACATTACACTGTAACAACAACAACAACAACAACAGTAGAAACACGTATCATTATTATTACTTATCAGGTTTTGAATTGAATATGTGAAAACCAATCACTTGTTAGATAAATTAGATTTTTGTATCAAAATCTAAATCCCTTCATTGACATTTTCTCCTGTTAACAAAAGTCAAGCCTCAATTAAAAACACAGCACTCACAATGCTGGCACCCTCTCCTAGATTCCCAAAGTTTTGGTGGTGCTGTCACATTCGGTTTTGGTTTGGAAGAAGATGAAGGGAAATGGAATCTGCCTTTGACTTCCTACTCATTTCTGATCATATTCTGGTGATCGATCCTTTCATGATCATTCATAAAGTATTTTAAAAGAGTTTTTAACTTAAGATAACACTTGTAAAAGCAAGAATTGATTCTGAATAGCATAGGTCTATTGTTAAAACTCACATCTTGGAGCTGGTAGGTATGTCTGTGCATGACTTTAATCATTACCATGACAACAAATAGGAGGGAAATCATTATTAGTTCCTTACGCATGCATGCAAGGGTCTCCGAAAGAGACAAAGGAAAGAAACAAACAAGAGAATGATTTTGAAAATATGGTGGTACAAGAGCTTCCATTCCTGAGTGATACGGAAAGACACCCTACCCAGTAACAACAGGACAAAGATATATCCAGCGTGTCAGGGGTGAGGAGGCCACGGAAAAGAGTATCAGAGGAGGAAGACAGTAAACTGGAACATTTTTGGAAACAATTTTTACTCCAAGGAGATGCAAAGAATTCTGCGTATGAGTCAGCCTGGAAATAATGGGAGAGTCTATGAAGTTCATAGGAACAAACGCTTAATAATACCCCAGAGGAAATTACCTAGCAAAAAGCAAATGCCAGTGCCTTTGTTGAATAACATCCATTACTGCAAACTGCCTGGCAGAACCCAGCAACAGGCATACAAATATCTTGATTTTAAAGTCAGCCAGCATAGAAAAAAAATGTATGAGCTCTTCAAAGAGGGAATACATGTGGCGGAGTCTAAGATCAAACGGTCATAAGTATAATCTGTATTTGGGAATGCTCAATGAAGTTCACTATTTAAAGGAGGGCCTACAATAAGGAAATAAAAGCAAATGAACAGTAAAGAGCTCGAAGCAAAAAGAATCAAGGAATAAGCTGAGAACCAAATAAAGATATAAAAAGGGAAAGCTTGAGGCCAAATTGAACCAGCCTAGGGCAAGGGCTAATATACATAAAATGAAAGTTTCAAAAAAAAAAAAAAAAAAAAAAAGGAAGTTTATAAAGTTTTGGTTTTGTTTTTGTGATAAATATTAAAATGCTATTTTTTCTTGGTTAATATTCCCATAATATTTTAGAGTAGAAGGAGATTTGGCTTGATATATTATGAAACTCTAAATGCTGCTAAAGCCATGTAATTTGTTATAATTACAAATTGCAATCAGCCAGCTGTTACACACAGGGGCATGGTGAAGTGAACGGTGGTACATCTATGACTAGGCTATTACGCAGACTCTAGCAACTGTAAGTAGTAACATAGAACATACATACCTATGCCAGAGCTCTAAAAGCACAAGGTGTTTTACACTGTATGAATTACAGGGCTGAAGTAATGCTGCACCAAGTTTTTAAAACAGATTTTCTTTTTTAATTCTTTAGTGTTTAAAACATTACATATGTTTCCTTTTCCCCGCATTGACCTCACCCCAGCCACTCCAACACCCCCCCCTCCCCCTCGCACACGTCCTCACCCCACTAACATATTTTTTAAATTACATTTGTAAAGTTCTTTGGCGATTCAGGAAAAAGTTGCTATTTAATTTGCTTTAGATATTTTTAAAAAATATATTTTTAAATTGATTTCAGAGAAGAAGGGAGAGGGAGAAAGAGAGAGAAATATCAATGATGAGAGAGAATCATTGATTGGCTGCCGTCTGCCCTCCCCCTCCCCCTCCCCCTGCACTGGGGATTGAGCCTGAAACCTGGGCATGTGCCCTGACCAGGAATTGAACCATGACCTCCTGGTTCATATTAGATCGATTGCTCAATCACTGAGCCAATCCTGGCTGGGCTGCTTTGAATATTATTATTATTATTATTATTATTATTATTATTATTATTTTAATTCAGAGCAGCCTGACAGGGTTCTAAACAGTCTCCAAAGAAATAAAATAAAGAAAAGCACTTTCCTTACTTATAACTATCAGGATATATAAAATCCCGAGTAAAATCTGCAGAGATGAAAAGATGCTATGCTGAGAGGCTCTCTGAGGTTCACATACTGCTACTCTTTGCCAGAGTTTCTAGAAGTCACCTGGTAAACGCCACATATAATGTTTAGAGAGAGAATTTATGTATAGCACCCTCATGTGACGGAAACTACCGCGTCTTTATGTGCCCACTGTACTATTTCATCTTAGAGACAACCAGGCATCTATACACCAATGAGAAGAATCCCACCAAAGGCCTTGGCTGGGGCCACCAGGGTGCACCTCCCCAGGCGTGGTTTCCTAATGATCAACTGGCCTAAAAGCATTTCAGGTACAATCCATTCATTCCCCTCGAGGCTTTCTGCATTTATTTGAATATCCTGGGTGTGATTTTTTCTCTCTGTCACTTCTTTGTCATTTTCAGATTATTGAACCAATTCCGCCAAAGGCATATTTTATTTCTTTTGTATTTCTAATGAATAGCTTTTAAAGATGCATTGTTTTATGAGTAAATGGATTGTGTTGTATCTTTGGGTGTTTCCTATCTTTGTGTATTTTTCTACTTTATGTATGTGAATACTTTAAGGCTCTTTAAAGCCAGTCTTTTCAAGTTAAGACCATTTCTTCAAGGCAGAATTTAATTTTATTTTCAGAATACTTGAGCAGATGCAGAAAGGCTTTTAATTACAGGAGGACAACTTTTAAGGCAACTTGAAAATAATTTAATTAAGTTATTTAAATGTGTTTAATTTTAACTGTATAAAAAGAATTCAGACACCTTAACAGTAAATATCAATTAGCAAGAGGAATGAGGATTGCGTGAGAATCACCTGGGGAGCTATTCCAGTTACGCTTGCGGGCACTCTTTCCTACAGGTTCTAGGAGAGGGAGGTGGGGAGGACTGTCACTTTCTGTTCCAGTTAGTAAAACAAACAAACAAACAAACAAAACAAAAAACCAACCCCCTCAAAACAAACAAAACCCCCCCAAAACAAACAGAGGAAATGGAATCTGTGGTTGGTTTCCTACTTAATCCTGACCATTTCCTGGCTGCTGATCATTCATAAACTATTTGAAAGATTTTACTCACTTAATTAAAATAGCACTGTAAACTTAAGTATCACAAATCTTCTATTAAAGAAATCTAGTAGTGGGATCCGTGCTATCAAACTGTATCATGAGGTCCTCCTTCCTAGAGGTATACCTCCTTTGGTGCAAAGAGGATCAGGAGAAAAGTTACACAGAAAGAATGAGCTTTCCGGTTGTTTGATAGTGAGACATGGAAATGTTAGGGCAGATGGGCCTAGCAGGTCTGAGCCAGAGGCCCGCGGTCACTCGCCACACTCGCCCAAGTCAAAGCAGGCAGCCTGGTGACTCACCGGCAGGGCAAGATCCGGACCACATCGCTGGGCTTGTACCCTTCAATACAGACTGCACAGTTGTCAAAGTCAGGCTCTGTTTCCTGCAACACAGAAAGCACACGTGAGCCTATTTTTGTAGTTTCAACTCTTGTAAAGATACCCAAAAAACACGCCAAAGAACCGTGCCTCAGAGGCAGGCTTCAATGGTCTTGGGCTCAGTTTTCTTAATCAATAATTTACTATTTACTGGCTTAGTTTCCATTCATTCTAACCTCCATGTTTTGTCTCTGGGTTCCACTGTAAGTGGAATAATTTTTAAATGTACCATTACTAATAATGCTATTCATTATAATTAGAGGTGACATAGCAAAAACTCAAAGATGAGAAATACCATTTATGGAGAAGTATCTGAATATTAAATCTTTTCATTCCTCAGGAATCTAATGTACACAATGCTAAAATAGTGTTTCTGACTTCTTTCTTTCTTCCCCAAGTATATAAACCTCCTTTAATTCCCCATAAAATATTACTTATATAATAATTCTTATTATTTTATTATTCCCTGTTTCAGGGGGAAAAGTAATGGAAAAATACTTTCAGTTCAGTAGTGATTTTAAATGAATGTTATCATAATAAGGTCAATAGAATTTTTATATAGTTGAAAAACAGCAGAACATAATTAGGGAGACAAATCAATTATTCAGACTAAAGACAAACACCTGAAATGCATGTTGAGTCATGAATCCCTTACAAGCTCCCAAGAGCCCCAAATCCATGTCTGTAACCCACTGCTTTAAAATTTCTCCTGGGCGAAGAAAGATCCTCAAAGGCCACCGTATGGACTGCACTGCTCTGAGACACTAAATATGCTTCCTGCATTTACTGTAGTGGAGGACATCGTTCAGCACATAACATTGTCTTCTTTGCAAAGAATCAAGTCCTAATACAGGAACCATCTTTTTTTTAATCTTGTGGGACACTGGAATAAGGTAGCTACTTCTTGAAAATGGAATATTATTTCCTTCTTTGCATTGGCTGCTAAAAAGCACCCACCTAAATTTGGGACCCATTTCTGTTAGGCATTTTAGGTAATGCATTTGTCTATTGATAATTTCATCCTGGCTTTATCTGCTCTTCCTACATTAATTTTAAATTCTCCAAACTACTTTGCTGTTCTATTGTATACCTTTTATAAAGGGCTTTAAATTATCTTATGTAATAAAAGCCTAATATGCAAATTGTCTGAATGGTGGAACCACATCAATGGTTGCTATGATATGCACTGACCACCAGGGGGAAGACGCTCAATGCAGGAGCTGCCCCCATCCTGCAGACCCCAGGCCAGCTAAGGTGGGTGCAAGTCCCTCTCCCCCCTCCAACCCGATCGCCCCTCCAGTTGTCCCACAGATTGACCCTGATCGCTGGCCAGGCCTAGGGACCCTACCTGTGTGCCAGGCCTCTAGTATTTAATAAAGACAGGTAAGATAACAGATGCCTATGGGAGAACTAATAGCATTCATTCCCCCTTTCCCATCCTTCTCTCTCTTCTACCTTGATGGCCAAGTAAAGCCAAGAGCTTGTTTAAATAGCCCCTCACCCAAAAGAAAAGAGGCTGTTACCTTGTCGCCCTTCTTGATGGTCCTGACCTGGAGCTTACTGATTGCTTTCTTGGCTGCATCTCCAAGTCGGCGCTGAAACAGCAAATGCTGCTGGTTAGTAATAAAGGCCTGTAATTTTTGACTTTGCTTCTAATAACACTTAATAAACCAGGGCAACTATCTCTGAACTCATGCACGAGTGGCATGAATGTTAATATGATGTCTGGAAGAGATGGCATGGTAATATCTGAACAAAGCGGCTCTAGTATTTGAAGTCTATTAGAGAGAAAGTCTTCATGCCCATGTTAAGCAAGTGGCATATTGTATGGAAAGATCCTGTTCAATGACGTTAGTGCAGGTTACATTTATACAGATTACCAAAAAAATAAATTGAGGCCCCAGCCAGTTTGGTTCAGTGGATAGAGCATTGGCTTATGGACTGAAGGGTCCCAGAATTCGATTCCAGTCAAAGGTAGATAACTCTGTTGAAATTTTAAAGAATTTCCATTACTTATATAGATTCAAACTAGGTTTACATTTAGTTTGTACTACCCTTTTATTGTACATCACATTCTTACATCCAATTTTGCCTCCTTTGTATACGTTTAAGTGTGAATGTGGGTATAGGAAAATACATAAAAATATGTTTAGTTTGACAAATAATTATACAGCAAACCCCTATGTAGTAACCACCATAACCCACATCAATGAATAATATATTCGACTTGGTTCATTGGTCAACACTCAACCACTGAGCAACACCAGCTGGCCTATACACACAGTAGTTACAGTAAATAAGTAGAAAAGGAGATATTCTCCAAGCTAATTAAATTTCCTCTTTGATATTTCATTTTTAGTTTTAAAAATCATCATTGGCATTTTTAACAGGAGAGTAAGCTTGGGCTGTTTCCTAAAAAGATACCCATATACACTTGAGATTTATGCAGAAGTCCACGAGTAGATAGCAAACTAAATTGGCAGGAAAAATAGAAAGAGTCTATAATAATACATATGAATGGGGGACATAGAGTAAGAGGAAAAAGAACTGAGGTAAAACTAAACAGGATGCAACTCTCTTCCCTCTTCTTTTCCTCTAGTTATTGACTAATTATCCTTTGGTCTCAAATCAAGTCATTTTGGGGGGAGCCCTTCCTAGATGTCTTCCAGGAGAGAAGACCCCTCTGGTCTACACCCTCACAGCACCTTGTCCCTCTACTTCAGAGCCTTGTGACAATATATGCATTTTTAAAGATCTATCCCAGTATCTTTTCTCTCCTGTAAGCTCCCTGAGGACAGAACTGTATTTATGTTTGCTTCCCATTAATATGAATAGAGCTGCCTTCAGAAATTGACATTGGATCATTCAACACATATTTCAGATCACATACTTTCCCCAGTTTCAAAAACTCTGGGTTTTGAAAAAAAAAAAAAAAAAAGGTAGTAAAAACACACAAATTTCTGCTCTCTGTAGTTTACTATCTAGTGGAATCCCCATTAATGATTGTTGAGTGAATAAAATCTTAAACCAAGAGACCATTTTTATTTATTTATTTATTTATTTATTTATTTATTTATTTACATGGAAAACAACCTGAGAAATTTAGCCAGTTAAAGGGAAAACATATGAACTAACCACGATACATGTGGTTAGATGAGCAAAGCTATGGTCCTGACCTTGGCAAATGCAGCTTGTTGCAAATAAAATCTGCTTTTCATTGAAGAAGACAGGAGCAAGAATTGAAAAACATGGAAAAGGGACTACTTGTTACAGGGACTAAATGCAGAAAACCAATAGAATATTATATTTAAAATAAGAAATCTGGGCCTACAGTCAAGTATTGATTGTTTTAAGTTTAAGTTATGAATTCAGATATTTCTGTAATTGTGTTTAATTTGTATTATATAATATCTGGCCCCAATTCAATCACTTAAATTGTTTTTTTACTTTTAAAGTAGAAGCAATAAGGCAGCAATAATTATTTGCAAACAATGGTATTGGATTATATTCAAAGAAAGACCATCCTTTTTTTAAGGAGGTGAACCAGAAAAAATGTTTTCAAAATTTAATTTATTTAAAATCATTTTTAAAGCAAATGAAATATGTTCCTTTTAAATATGAACATGTAAGGTAAATTCAAAGACTACGTTCTATCTTGTCCATGTATTTTATTTTGCTTTTGGTTATATCTGAATTAAAAGGGGGTGTTAAAAAAAAAACCAAAAACCCTTTTCTCTTCCACAAAAATAAAAAGCTGTTTCCATACCCTTTAAAGGGAAGATGTAAGCTGCCTTTATAAAAAACAAAAAGAAAATGGCTTGTCTGTCCAGGAAATGTAAGCTGACATTAGGTATCAGGGATTATGGCTAATAGCAGAGTTAATGGTTAGGGGATTAGAAAGAGGAATTGCATTGCTGTCATTTGGTGACTGGGGGCTGAGAGGTTAAAAGAGTTCAGTGGAGGATAAAAGTCATTTGGGAGATGGGCTTCTCACATGAGCAGAACTAGCAGATGGAGAAATTCGAGTATAAAAGAAAATGATAAAGTCCCCTCAACACCAAGTCTAAGAGGTCTTTCTCCCTGAAAAATCAGAGGACTCACATAGGAAGGAAGACATGTTTCCCTTCATCATTCTGGAAAAATGGCCCGAGGGTATTTCCTTTCCCTGATGTGCCTCTAGACTACCCTCATTTCAGATGGTAATTCACATACACCTCCTTTCAGGAGAGAAAGGGCATCGTTTTGTGAGTGGCTGACAAAGGATAAGAAAGTCTGACTTGCCAGGGGCAGAGCGGATGTTATAGATACCTTGGAGAATAGAGAAAAGTCCACTTCTGAGATATAGATAGTAGTTATGAAACTGGGGAAGCTAGAGTTTTCAACAAAAGTCTAGATTAACCAAGAAAGGGGAAAGCACCATAAAGTTTTAAAATGTAGTCACATTTTGTATTTCTCTTTAAGTGACACAAAAACGACCAGGAAATATTGACTTCTAAATAAAAACACTGACTTACTTGCAACAATTTTCTAAACCAGTATTACAGGATTTCCAAAATGCAAACTAAAGAGATGAGTAAAAACACAAGCATTCTTAATGAAATGGTCCAACTAAAGCAGTTGTAGCTTTTGCAGTTGGTCTCTTCTGTCTTTGGGTTGTTACCTGCACCAAGAATAAAGGAGAGAAAAACCACAGGTCCTGCTCAAACGGAGTCTGATGTGGAGCCTGACTAGAGAACCGAGGGATTGGAACCAGAAGTCTGTCACCAAACCCATCCTTCCTTTGTGGTTGGTTCTCAGAAATGCAGACTAATGGGAGTTAGCGACCACCACAGGTACATTTAAGGGCCACCTCGTACATTAAGGGACCACCTCAAGTTTCTAGAGGCTTTTTGTTTCAGAGGGCGATTCCTCTCCCTTGTCTAAGGGCTCCTACAGATTTTCTCTAACCCAGATCCAAATCATGCTTTTTACTAAAGATCACTAGGAGTTGGACCATCTTAATAATTAGATTTATCCGTCAATTGAATCTAAATGAGTATAAGGAAGTGTTTACCAAGGTTATTGGTTCCTTGACAGTAGTGAAGACAAATGGTTTCATGGAAAATAAAAAAGAACTATTTATTAAAAGAAGCAAGTCCTACATAAATGCCAACAAAGACGGTAAATAATGGCAGACTCCAGTTCAACACAAGACACAAACCTTCTAAATATTTAGGAGATGGAGAAAAAGAAGACACTTTCCTCTTGTCTCCTTCTGTGTTATAAACAGACATGCAGTGAATATGATTAAAAACTAACTAGGAACATAAGGACACCAATACAGCATCAAAATCGAGTTTATGTTCCATCTTATCAGATTGGATAATTTTGTTTCATATTTGCCCCTTTTTACTGATAGCTGTATTTGATCATCACGATTCTCATCACCACCACCAAGTGGAAAAACAGCAAAGTGTTCTTACGGCCTAGGTCAGTGGTTGGCAAACTCATTAGTCAACAGAGCCAAATATCAATAATACAAGGATTGAAATTTCTTTTGAGAGCCAAATTTTTTAAACTTAAACTTCTTCTAACCTAACGCCACTTCTTCAAAATAGACTCACCCAGGCCGTGGTATTTTGTGGAAGAGCCACACTCAAGGGGCCAGAGTTGCACGTGGCTCGAGAGCCGCAGTTTGCTGACCACGTTCATAGGTGAAGAAAGGAACTATAACCATAAACAGAGTTGATCCCAGTCATCTGGAACCTCATGTGGCCATGGGTGACTCAGACACTTTCCTTGCTCATAATACATAACAATGAGTTTTCCAGGCCTGGCTGATGCAACAGAAATCACTGCACAGCCAGTTCAGCTGAGTTCTATGATGTAGGTCAGCATTCCGTCAATGTAGTAAAGTGGGTAAGGGAATTGGTCTGGCTGCCCTCACAGTATGGTGACCTCACAGAGTGATGACTGCACACGTGACATGAGGTAGAAACATTAGGGTTATCTTTCGTGGGAGGTGCATGGCTTGGATGTTAGAAGATCCAGCTTTCAGCCCTATTTATGTCACTAACTGTGTGGCTTTGGCCAAGTCACTTCAACATTCTGGACCCCAGTTCCCCTCATTAGTAAAACCAGGTTTGTGGAGTTGTGTCATTTCCAGTTTTACCAGGTCAGGATTTTCTTCCACACAGAACAGAACTGGGAGGCAAAGATCCCTGGGACCTGAATTATCTAAACATGGCAAGTCAATGGCTAACTATGTCACAGATATAACATACATTTTGCCTTTCTATTCTCCCGAGGGCTCTCTACGTTCTGCAGGGACACATCAGGGACTAAGTTGGTTGTCACTTTTTAGGAGATGGAAGCATCTCTGACCCCAGGGACACTGGGCATACTCCTTTCCCTTTCCGTCCCTCTTCCCCTATGGCGTTCAAGTTTGTCTTAAATACCATTGCATCTCTTGCTCCAGCTTAACTTCAGGACCAAATGTGCAAAGGAAATCAAAGGGCCACGGGCCATGTACATGCAAATACCAGGAAAAGTATTCACACAGAGGAGTACCTCTTTCAAGAAAGCTTGGTTGAATGTCATTACCAGGCCTCACATAAAACAACACAAGCCAGGTCTGGTTTCCTTGGGTTAGCCTCAAAGGCAACATTGTTTATGAAAAACAAAAAAGAGCCTTACATCATTTATCTGATCTGCCCATGTTTGAAATTGCCATCCTCTACCGAGAGTCCTGTGGTTTTCAGAACACAGACCCAGTCTTTGTGTCAGAGATGGGGTATCCTAAGAGACAGAGGGACAGTGTCCCCAGCATCCCCAGCAGGCAGGCTCACCTGCCACAGCCACGGCAGGAATGCTGCTCGCGGCATCTGCAGGGTGGACAGCTGCCAAAGTGCACATCTGGGAAGTGAGGGACACATGGCTCCTTCACCTCCCAGAGGGCAAGGGAGGCTGCCTGGAGTGGACATTGGCATTCAGTCGAGAATCTGTCATGTCCCTGGCCTACCAGATGCTCAGTTGATTAGAGCATCATCTGGATATGCCACGGTTGCCGGTTTGATCCCTGGTTAGGGTACACACAAGAATAAACCAACAAGTGCATAAATGGGTGGAACAAAGAAGCTGATGTTTCTCTCTCCCTTCTCTGTCTTTCCCTCTCTCCTCCTCTCTCAAAACCAATCAATAAAACAAAATTTAAAAGAATCTGTCATGACCCTGGGTCTCCATCTCAAGAGTTTAAGAAGGGAGGTGATTAGTTGAGAAGAAGAACCCTGAGCCTCCTTTGTGGAGCCCCTGGAGTTGGAGGATCTTAGAATAGATACCAGAAAGGACTTAACAACCAATCTTTACTTCTAAGGCCAAAAACGGCCAAATTTGGTCAGAAGGATGTGCTTAGTGTCACTTGTAAACTTTTTTTAAAAAGAGAAAACATGTCCATCAATAGGAGTTGGTTTAATAAATACAACATACACAAAAAAGGAAATGGTATCCAGGCATTAGAAATGAGAAGGCAGCTTGGATTGAGTGTTGATATAAATTAATCTCTAAGATACAGTGAGAAATAAGGGTACAGAGTTAAGGTGTACTATTATTTGTTCTCTCTCTCTCTCTCTCTCTCTCTCTCTCTCTCTCTCTCACACACACACACACACACACACACACACACACACACACACACACACACACACACACACAAACACACATGCATTTGCAAGCACATAAAATATCTCTAGAAGAGAAGAAATTCCAGGCAGAGGACCTTGGTAACTAAGGGGCATACATGGGAAGGCAATTACTTTTCATTTAACTATTTTATACCTTTTTCAATTTATACCATGTATATATATTATCTGTTCAAAATGTAATAGCTTTTAAAATAGCTTTTATTTACCTCCTTTTCTTCTATCCTCAAGGAGGAAATTTGGGCTTTTCCTAAATAATGTTGCCACTATTAGCATAATCTCAGCTCATGTTCCCTTTCTCTTTTATTATGTGCCTAAATAAAGACGAGCAATAGGAATATAGGACAAAACCCCTCCGTTTAACAGGACAATACTAATAAAACATTAAAATATATGTATTGGCAAAGATCTGAAAAACTATGCAACAAATATCAATTGCTTATCTTGAGAGGGGGAAATCATAGGTAACTTTGGTCTTAGTTATTTTGTGTGATTTTATAAGTTTATACAATAACATGTCTTATTTTTATAGTAATTTTTAAGTTTTAGAAAAACTTTTTGCTACTCACCTGGTTCCTGTCCCTGGCATTTGCATATCGAAACCTCTGGATATAATAGAAGACCAGCCACGCGAGAGAAATGATCATCAGGACGATGAAGGAGATGGAGACAAACACAACTGACGTGCGGCTCACGTATTTCTGCAAGTTCCGTGTACCGATGGTGATGTACATCGTCACGGTGATGTTTCTTTCCAGCAGGCTCACTATCTCCTTCCCTTTGGGCTCAGGAATCATTATCGCCACGATGTCTTCTACGCCTGTGGCGAGAGGGATGAGGGTGAGGGGATATGAGAGAGAGCAGGAAGCTAATGGTGAAATGTCCGGATAAAGTCACATACACACCCACATAATGACATTACTTGTGATGATTCTTTGCCAGATCTAGTATCCAGGTGCATTTCTAAGATCCAACAGCCAGAAACTGAGTCAAATTTTCTCTTTCTTGCCGAAACCAGTTTGGCTCAGTGGCTAGAGCACTGGCCTGCAGATTGAAGTGTCCCAGGTTCGATTCCGGTCAAGGGCATGTACCTTGGTTGCGGGCACATTCCCAGGAGGGATTGTGCAGGAGGCAGCTGATGGATGTTTCTCTCTCATCCATGTTTTTAAACTCTCTATCTCTTTCCCTTCCTCTCTGTAAAAAAATCAATGAAATATATTAAAAATTTTTTTTTCCTTTTTCTTCAGCTACTTTGAGATGCTGATATCTTGACTATGAGAAAAGAACCCAAAAGGAACTCATAATTTTGGTAGCAGTGAGCTCATGATCAACCTACCCTTCAGCTGTCCAAGGTGTTATTGACCCTGCTAAATAAAGGCGGCTGCTTTCCAACCAGTCCAAGTTTATAGCCCTAAATTGCATTTCACAACCCTCCCATCCCCTGAAGAGAGGAAAAGGCACTCTGACCCCATGGCACAAAGGTCAAATACAGATTTTTTTGCCATCTGTCTGCGACCTTTTTCTCTTTCCATCACTCAGACACTCTGAATACTTGGTCACATATCTGTACTTACCATTTTCAAGTCAATTTTCTCCTACAGCGAGTACCCAAAGCAACCCCGAATAGAGTTCCTTAACAAGCTCTAACATGATCTGTTAACATAAAATAAATGGTCTCAGAAATATTTTTCTGCTTATTTTACCTAGTTCAATGTAAACAGCTTGTGCATCTCCATACCAAACCAGGGAGGATGGAGGCTAATAGGTAACTCTGGGATTATTTCACCTCCACTCCAAAATACTCCCCCCACAATGCCCCTATTACTGGGTAGTTTGAAGCAAGAGGGGCAACTTTCTTGGATCAGAGTTATCTGGGTCCCTGTCCCTATTTCTTGTGACACTCAGCCTCTCAGTGAGGAGTTCTGGGGCCTTGACAAGGGGGTCTTTGGTAAGGATGCGAGACCAGCTCCAAATGAACCAACTTGGCACATCACTGTGAATATCAACTTCACTAGGATAGGTTCTCAGGGATCTCCCCATTCAAATGTAGGCCCACAAAGCTCTTCCTGGGCCCCAATTTCCACATGGAGATATCTTATTCCCCGAGGTCACTACTAATTAAAGAGAGCAAATTCACAATAAGGATGTTGCAGTTTAGGGACAAAATTAAACACTGCCATAGCTGCTTAAAGCTGGCCTTATTCACAGGCTGTGGCCCGTCAGACTGAACTGCCAGGTTACAGTGGCTCAGGATGGTGCAAGTCTCTTAGAAGCTACTTAGGGCTTTCACTTGGCCTTGATCTCTACGCAGGTTTTCAATCCTACATTCTTTGATTCCTTTACTCACTGGGGCTAAATAAATCTTTTAAAAGTTAATGACATAGAAAGTTGTCTGTGTAGGCTACACCAATGATATCCTTTTAAAAAAGAAATTCCAGTTACCTTTGCATGGGCCCAGCTGTAAAATCTCAAAGCCACACAGTGTTTAGATTTAGCTGTCAACTTCTGGGAATTACTGAAACTGATGGCTTGAATTTCAACTTTGCAGAATTTACTGACAATTCCAATGCTCCTCTTTCCATGTTTACTTTGGTTAATGGCTGCATGTGGTCTGAGGTTTTGGGAGGGATTGAGGCTGCCAGCAGGTTTTGTCTCCACAGAAATAACTTCTTTGCATTGCGGACTAACCTGGCCTGGTGAGGCTCATCCTGTTGCTGTGGCCATCTTAGAGAGACTTAAGTGGTGGGTAGATTCATAACTTTTCACTTAATCCATCCCCTTACTTACGTTTTTAAAGCTTATCTATTCAAAGCTCTAGAATAATATATTGTTTGAGAAGAGGATTTTGGGTTATTTATAAGACTTTGTATGCTCAGACTTGCACAAGTTTAAAATTTTGAGTAGTCAAATATTATCATTCTATTCCTTATGACTTTTAGTTTCAACACTCTGCTTAGGAAGCTTTTCCACCGAAGATGACAGAAATATTCATTTGAAACTGCTTTTCGAAACATTTTAGTTTTACTTTTTACATTTAAATCTTGAACAACCTAAATGTGATTTGACAACAACACAACATGTATTGAGCTCTTATAATGAAACTCGAGGCCAGGTGCATAAAATTTATGTTGGGGGGGAGTTCTCTCAGCACACTCTGCACCCTCTCCAATCTGGGAGTCCTTGGGGGATGTTTGCCGGTTTAGGCCTGATTCCTGGATTGGTCCTTAAACTGGCAATTGGACATCCCTCTCACAATCCTGGACCGCTGGCTCCTAATCGCTCACCTGCCTGCCTGCCTAGTTGCCCCTAAATGCTCCACCCACTGGACTGGTTGCCTCTTACTGCCCCTCCCCCCTGCTGATCTGGTCACCCCCAACTGTCCCCCCTGCCAGCCTGGTTGCCCCTCACTAACGCCCCTGCTGGCCTGGTCGCCTCACACAGCCTGCTTGTTCAGTTGTTCGGTCATCCCTCACTAACCCCCTGCTGGCCTGGTTGTGAGGGCGTGAGGGTTAATTTGCATATTGCCTCTTTTTATATAGAATGGCAGAGGGGAGACAGCTAGGATGAAATTTATTTCCACCCTAAATTCTGAGATATATTTGGATCTACCTTTGGACTTTACTTCACTTAAAGGTTGATCCACTTTTTTGTGAACCTACATCAGGCTATTATAGTTGTCTAGGCTTTCAGCAAATTTACTGTCTGGTAGCCTACCTCTTCTTCTGCTAATTTCTCCCTTACACTCTTCCTTTTATCTACTTATAGAAAGAGATCACAAGGCCTAATGGGTCTCTGGAAACGAACAGTTTGTTTCAAACCCCAGATCAGCATTTTAAAAATAGGCAACCAAAGATTGGACATCCACGAGGTTCTAAACTACTCATCATCCATTTTCAGGAACCTGAGGAAACATTTTTTCCCCCCTGTGGGGTAAAGTATAATTAACTATTTTAGACTGAGATGCTTAGTTACACTACCTGTGTGGCTCATACCACTGCTCACTGCTCTTCATGGCAATGACATCTGCTCGGAAAGATGGAAGATGGCAGTTGGGAGGTTCTAGTCACCCGGACTTTAACCGTATTCATCATCCATATTCATAATGAATTTCTAGGGCTGGTGATGGCAAGTAATGGACGGGTTTCTAGGGTATCTTTCCATGCACACTGGTATGAATTGTGCATGGTGTGTATTTATCCCAGAAGAAATAGTCAACTTAGGCACACAGTCTTTCCCCAAACAGCACAAAGGAAAGTAGATCTGGATGACTTATCTGACCAGTTGGGTCAATGCACAAAGTCCAGGGCAAAAGGCTATGTGGGATCGAATTGTTCTAATGGGACATGTGCACCATGACTTATCAGACAGTTCCTGCTCTTTGCTTCATTCTGGAATGTGCAGCTGGCATCAGGGGAAGCCAGCAGGTTCTTCCCAGGTACACTGTGGTGTCATTGCTTCTGAGGGTGAATGTGAGGGGGGAAGGGAGAGAAGGAGGGAGGGAGGGAAAGAAGGAAAGAGGGAAGTAAGAAGGGAATACTGAGGAGGGGCAAAGAGGGCTGAAAGCTCTGCTGAGAGATCTTAGAGTGAATGCTCTCCTAAGTACCTAACCTATGACACACCAGAGGCTCTGAGACTCAGGGAAGAGAGCGAACAAATGGCATATTTTGTATGGGTCAACTCTACAAACAGGCCTTGCTATTTGAGCAATTCTATGTTTACTGTGATGCCTAATCTGTTACCAATTTCCTCTTTTTTGCAAAATTATGTCAGCCACCCATCTATTTTCCTCCCAAAGGCACTTTATACGTCTGGGCGATCACTGTTATGTAATGGTTGTGTATTCTGGAAAAGCTCCTGGAAAAGCTCCTTAACCGAGACTGTGACCAGGGCATGTATGTGACCTGGCCGCCAGACGGGCAGCGGGAGCACCCTGTATGTTTAGTGCTTCCTTTTCCCGGGAGAGAGCTCAGTTGCCACGACCTAATTTAGTCTGTGCAGATATGATGAAATCAAAACAAAAGTTAAGAAAGAATGTTTAATAACCAGGAAATCCTTTACTTATAAATTCAAAATCAGGTTGTTTAAACATTACATTGATAGAATGTCTAGAACATCAGCACAGAGCTAGACATTTAAAGGGCAGGCAGCCCCATTCCTCCTTGTGCTTTCTGGGGGTGGGGGTGGGGTGGGGTGGTAACTCCCTCCTAGATTCCTGTGAGCAAAAACCCTTTCACTCCTCTGCATCCTCTTCCCTCCTAATCTTTACTTTAGTTCCACTGACAGCCCTTTAGAGTGTAGGCAATAATAAGAAAAGGCAGTTTCAATTTATAGATGTTTTCTATTTACACATTATATACTGCTTTTTTAATAGCTCCTGATAATTATCAATTCTCATGATGATAACACATATGAAATAATTTCAAGAACTGCAAAGTACCATATACTTGTAAAGTATTACAATTTTCCACATTAGTTTAAAAGTACTTTTCGTAAACAGAGATGCCAAAATCCTAAATAAAGCATTTACAAATCAGCTCCAACAATCCAGTAAAAAAATTTTTTTTTCCTGACCAATGTGGGATTTATCTTAGGAAGGTGAGGATGATTTAACCTTAGAAAATACAAGAGTGTTGCCAACATTGGTTTGGCTCAATGGATAGAGCATCGGTCTGCGGACTGAAAGGTCCTAGGTTCGATTCCAGTCAAGGGCATATACATTGGTTGCAGGCACATCCCCAGTGGGGAGTGTGCAGGAGGCAGCTGATCGATGTTTCTCTCTCATCGATGTTTCTAGCTCTCTATCCCTCTCCCTTCCTCTGT